CATACCCACCTAAACAGGTTTCTGTAACATTTGCCGTTTGGTCACTAGCGACCGAGGCGTTACTGGTGGCCCACCCTGTATATAGGGCGAAAACTTTTTGGTTGTTAAAAAGAGAAACGGAAAATATAAGAAAATATAAAAATATAATGAAAGCGTAACCCTTTGGATAGATCCTTTAAAGAAAAGAAAACAAGTTATAGCAACAAAAATAAGAATGATTTGTAGATATCGTTTTCTTTTGTTTAGAAAGTAGAGTATTCTACAAGTTTTATTGCATTCTCAATCTTCTAGACTGTTATCTCATCTCTCAGCACAAAAAGTAGATGTATAGATGGGTGGATGTGTGGGTTTTATAGGTGGTAGAGGTGGATGGATAAATATGCGTATTAATGCATGAACGACTGGATAGAAATATGTATGAATTCATAAATGGGTGGGTGGATAAAAAGGTGGATCCAGAACTCTGCAACACGAATTATGCCATGAAAATGGCGTTTTGATCTATTTTCTATTTGATTTGATTTTGATCTATTTTCTGTTTTTGAATGAAATTGGACCAGCTTTCTGGCTCTATGATGATAAATTGGAATTAAACGAGTGAAAAATCATACGTCTAGTGAGAGGGTAGAATAATTTGATTTTTTATAACTCGTCGATCGTAAATGACGTTTTTTGTGAAATTTGACCTGTTTTTTTAATTTTCCCGAAGACTCAGACCCGTTGGGCCAAATCTGAAGGCAGAATCGGATTCAGCGGAAAAAATACATGGAAATACATGGGTCTGAATACCATCCGATATTTTTTTTGTGGGGATGTTATTTTTCCCTATTCATTAATGATACAAAAAATGTAAAGTTTATATTATACAAATATATAGCTATAAGGTATAAAAACATTGATAACCCGTAACAACTACATTATGACCAAATAGAAACTCTCGGTTAAATAATAATAACTACGTAAGTACCCAAATTCACAGTTGCTTTGTGTCACATTATTTCTGTTTCTAATACATGTTGTATATGATACAGTAAATTCTGACTTGGTCCCCTTTAACTTTGAATATATTCGTTTTAAGAAACAGATGAAGACATTAATTATATTATAAAAGTAAGGTATGTAATTGAGTCGCGATTAGAATACACATAGTCAGGCAACAGATGTTTTAAATATTTTTCCGCATGTAGGTACTAGATAAAATAATGTAGCTTTTCCATTGTTCTTATTTTGATTCTAGATACATGGTAATCGATATATCTTGAAAAATGCATTTTTCTTGAAGAAGGTGTACCTAATTTTTTCTGTTGCTGTTACCCAATCAGGAAAAAAAATGTACCTCTATTTTGTTCACTTTATACTGTTTTCGCGATATTACCGCTTGGAAAGCATTTTGCTGAAATTTTCATCCTTGATATCCTTGATGGAGCTAGAAAAATGTTTATTCCAACTTTTTTTATTCAAAATTCAATTTCTTTATGGCACAATTTACAAATTGTTTTAGAGAGTTACTCAAAATTTGCATAACATCAATGGTGTTTCTAAATTATCACAAATTTAATTCGTTATACAAAACAATTTTATCAAAGAAAGAAAAAAAGGAAGTAGTTTTTTTGTTTCGTTGATATCCATTAGTGTGGCACAGTCACAAAAGTTTGGATACCTATTTCATTTTGGATAAAAAAATTCGAATTTGCAGTACAGAGGTAAGGAGGTGTGATGTTTTGAGATGGGTATAACAATGGCGATTGAAAGAATAACTGTTTCGGAACAGTCGACATGAGCCACTTTCTGCCGACATAATCTATCAGATATTGCTTATTCATCGGTCACGTATTGATGACCATTTTTGATTAGTATATATTGAATATACTATTGAAGTATTGTATAGTATTGAATATATATTCTTCTCACTTCTATTGTTTGTTGAGATTACCGGCCAAACTTTTCCTCAACTTTTTAAAGATTTTTTATGTTTAAACATGGATATTTTGCGATTCACACGACTTCAATGACAAAATAACACGATAGACGATGATTCATGCAAATTGCACCACTGAACTTTAGTTCAATGCCTGTAATCGCTCAATTGCGCTTACTAATGGAATATAATTAGAAAACAATGAAAAATAACAATAAGTAATCGAAGGATTACTTATTGTTATTTGTTGTTAAATGTTATTTAAGTAGTTAAGAACACATATATTGAAACTGGCCATTCTGTAGTACTAACATAGCACAGATGACAGATTAATTCGTCGATAGTGGCAGCTGGTGAAAATTAAAGTGGTCAAATTTTGATAATAGTCACAGCATCACAAAGAAAAGTACCTGATCTGTAAGACCAGACCATGATATCTATATATGGTCGCTGAATCCGAATCCGTTTAACCCGAACAGATCAGGGCCAAGGTCAATTCAAGGTCATATCGCGAAAAGTTGCAAAAAATTTGACCATTCTTATACGTTTTTGGGATCGCTGATTCAGAATTCAACGTTAGATTTTCAAAATTCAAGATGGTGGATTCAATATGATCGACCGAGTATTTTGAAATATTGAAAATATTGAAAAATAAAAATTATTGTCGAATTCTACATAAAATTCTAAGTAAAAAGTATCTCTGGCAATTTTTCTATTTTTTCCAAACAAAAAGTTACTTAATGTAAATTCTCATTACAAATCTACATCTCCTTTATAATGTCGAACAATTTTATTATCAAAGATCTGCGAATTGGATTCCTCTTACGTTTTTTTTTATTTAACGGGTAAATCAGCAGTAATCGACCGTCATATTTATTTCCCATCTACCTTGGTATCTACGCTAGATTTCCTTAATGTTTTGATGAAATCTTTCTATTAAAAAAATCTTAAAAATGATATGGGTTGCACTCTTTATAATTTCTACTTTAATATGACTACATATTTTAATTTTCACCAGCCGACGCTGTTCATCAAATTCAGCTAGCTAAAAGTTAAGGTCTATATTGCGGAACTACGCACTTTTGGTACCCTTTCAGATGTCACAATCCGACAAATTCGTGCTATTCCTCTTGTTTGGTCAACTTTATCAACCTTTTCGAAAAATGCTTTGTCAAGAGCGGTTGTCATTTGGACGTCATCTTTCGAACCTAAATTAGATTTCTGTACTTCTTTCTTTGTGTTTTATTCAATGGAGTTGTGTATGTAGTCTTTGGAAAAAAGGAAAACTTAAATTCGTTCAGAAGTGGGTCCAAGTTTTTTTTAAAATTGACACCTCCTTGTCGGATGAATTTCAATTTTTAATTTTTTCAAATACAATACCTAATAATATGCAATGCTATGGAAGAAACACAATTAAAGAAGAAAAAATATATAATTTATAAACCTTTAGTCTTCAGCTAGCAGAATTCTAATCTATCGTCTGAGCTACAGAAGCACAACAGAATAATCAGATTCAATAATTGTGTCAGAAACAAACACGAGATATTCTGCGTCTCCTTACGCACTTAAATGGCATTTAACAGCACAAAGTACATGTCACCTGTTTCGAAACTATTGTTCTCTTCATCGCTATTGTTGTTACACCCATCTCAAAAAAATCATGCCTCCCCGTCGCTGGGACCCTGTATTTTATGTATTTAGTGGGAGAAAAATTTATTCAAACGCAAAGTTAATGACTCTTTTTGTACTAGTTGCAGCAGCGCTTGGTAATTCTAATTGCATTTAACCATTCATAAGATCCTTCTACATACAGTGTGGAATAGCCAAACGGAATAAATTTAGTATCTCAATTTTTGTGTATATTTATAAACAATCTCGAGACACGTCGTTTTTAGATTCTGGCACTGCAAGGTAAGAATTTCATCCCTAAATTCAACCTCCTTCGAATGTCAGTTACAACCCTTAAATTTTTTAATGGCATGTAAGGACTTCTGATACCTTATTAGAAAGGTATTTTCATTTTCTATTCAAAAATGCTATGGTTTTAATATGTATTGCAAAAATTAGCAGTACTTAAAAAAAATAATTCATCAGTTTGACGAAATTCGCTACAGCAAACTAAGAAAAATTTGATTTCAAAATAGGAGATGTTCAGTTCCTTGAACGTCTTGGCCGTATCCTAATAGAAAGAAATAGAAAGAAATCTAAGGGTGTAAAATCAGGAGAACGTGCTGACCATTCTAGCGATCTCGCCTCACTGATTTGGAAATGTGATTCTATCTCCGCAACACACTGAGAACTATTTAATGCTGTCAATTAATAAAACAGCAAGTAGCTACATTTTCAAAAAATTGCCAGTTATGAAGAATTTTGATGTTTTTATATCTTCTTTTTAGTTGAGAATGTTGAAAAAGAACACTGAAATTGTTATTGCTATCCTGCAAGAACAAAACACTGTTAGTTTTTATGTTTTTGTTTGTTGTAACAAATTTCGTCAAGCAAGTCGTTAATTTTTGAAATAAATATTAAAACCTATCATTTTTTTTCCTATTTCCTACTTCCTATTTAAAAATTTAGGGGTTGCAACTGCCATTCGAAAGGGATTGAATTTAGCGATGAAGTTTTTACGTTACAGGATGTTATTTCAGAAACCAGAATCGACGGCGACGTGCCTCGAGATTTTTTATAAATATGCACAATAATTGAGTTACTGAATTTATTTCATTTGGCTGTTCCACACTGTATAAAGACGTCAGCAGTTTATGTAAAAAGAAATATGTGATAGAGGAAATGGTTAATCAAATTTTGTCACTGAAATTAAATTTAGTGATAAAATTAATAACTGAAACTTTCATATATTTAACAAGATATTCGACTTTAGCACGTTATTAAGTACAATTAGGAAATAATATTACAATTAATTACTTTTCTTATGTTGTGTCAACAACTAACATAAGTATATTTTAAATATGTTCACAAATGCATCAATATAAATCTTTGTTTAAAAAATTTAACATTTTTCACATTTTGCTAAACGCAAAATTTTCAAAATTTGTCTAGGGCGGAAAATAAAGTTACTGACCTGCAATAACTGGAACATCAAAATCAAAACTAGTCGGTATCTGCTGGCTGGCACTCGAGGTGGAATTCACTTGCCTCGTTTTGATCAGCGGCGGGTTTTTGCTCTGAGAAATAGCCAGACTTCTTCTCAAGTTCCCCCTCGTGGGAGAGGGGGGAGGGTACGATATCCCTCTATGCGTCGGACTCAGGAGGTGGCTGCCATTTTTGCTGCTAGGCACTGACAATGTATTTTGATTTAAGTTTAAACTCAGACTGCCCACATTTGGCGACCCAAGCGTCAAATTAGGCAAACTCTGGCCCAGACTGCCGTAAGGCTGAACGGAAAGAGTGTTGGGTGTTTTGTGGAAGAGGCGGTTCTTGAAGGAGTTTTTTTGAGACACCGGACTTTTGTCGGGTGGCAGCGGTTGGACTCCTTCGTCGCTTGATATGGACCCTGTTCTGTTCTCGGTCTCCATCGAAACTGCTCGGGATTGGTTCACCGACCCGACGGAAGACTGGTCGTTCATTTCTACTGAGCCACTATAAAATAAAATTTTTATTTTATATCTCTAAGATGCTGTTATATAATTTTAGTGCAGATTTATATGGCCTACATGTAGAGAATATAAATAGATAAAGGAATCCAAAATGAATCTGAAAATTTGTGTACAGGAGGTTCTTCATATGTTCCAATCAACGAAATTATCGACGATTCTCGTTCATTATGGTAAAAGTTTTTGTTTTACATTATTATTGGAAACAAGCGCGAAATTTTAACCAGCCCAATAACAAAATGGGCAACCTAAAACTAATACAGAGCCTTCATAAATGATTACAAGTCACGTGACTAATAATTCTGTTAGGCACAGTAGTTTTATTTGCTTCATGTTGGCAATGATTTCGGTAAAATTAAAAATTATTAAAACAGTATGATCAAGATTACATTAAAACACAATATTCTGTTTCACCGGCAGTGATTGGTGTAATTTTTCACGAGATTCTGTTCAACCAATCAACGATCGCATTATAGCGATCGTAGACGTAATGGTTTGCCATTGTTCATTGTAAACAGAACATTAATATTGGGAACGCCAAGATTTAGGGATTTTTCTTTACTAGTAGCAGCCCTTCAATGTTGATTACCTAAGTTCGGCGGTATGTGGCTTGTAAACATTTATGAAGGCTCATTATATAGAAAAATGATACAATTACATAATAAACAAATAAAAAAGGAAGCTGCATTAAGTATGATATAAAAAGAAATGAAATACCTACTAAGAGAAAAAAAATGACAAATATTAAAATATAGGCTAAATCGACAGTGCAAAGGATATCTTGGAAGTTTATTTTTTTTTAATTTAAAGTAATTAATAATAAGATGACCTAAAGTAAAGGAGAAAAATGTCTGTAGTGGACACAATAGAAATAACAGGATGTAACTTTAAGTTGGGTCAGTTTTTTTGGGGCAATAGTTGCCATATATTTTAAATCAACTGTTAGCTAGCTAAACTACGATGAAACCTTCACCCTTTTTCCTTTAAATTATTAGATTTGACAACGACGTATACCGCAGTTCCAAAGTGTATATAAGCTGTGACTAACGCACGCCGTTTTTTGAGGTCACACTAACTTGTTCAGTGGTGGTGTATGAACGTTACTAAAAAAACAGTTTTCAAGATAGACAAAACAAACTTAGATACCTGTGTTTCTAAAGGTCAAAGGTAACTTCCATATAAATATGACCTCCATTCAAAGTTACACCCTGTATAGTGAATAATTTAGTGACCATATTATTGACACATATTCTGTATTGAAACACTTGGATTCGTTTAGTCTTGAATAATTAACTTTAAAAAAATTCGAATTAAAAATGCTGAATGTATTTTCACTAAAAAGTATCTACCGATTTGGTGATTTTGTTTAGCATGAATAAGCTTTAATAATGTAAATATTTGATTCAAGGTCTACAGTTTAGTACAAATAATAAAAAAGTAATTGACTACCCTCAATTTTTTTAATCGATCACCGTCTATAGACGTTATTGCTTTTAATACGCAATTTTCTTTGAAAATACAAACAGCTATTAAATATAGTAGCCAGCAGGTATGCGAAACGCAGTTTATTATAAAGTAACAAACAACTTTAACAGCAATTAAAAAAAAATAGACGACTACAAATGAAAGAAAATTCTGTGTACAAAATTTGCCCTTATTGTTTATGATGTAAATATGTACACCCCAGGCAAATATTTTTATTGGAAGCATATTTAGCAGCATTAAATTGGCATTTCTAAGATTGTAGGATTCTATTTAAATGATGTCGAGTCTGATTTGTTATGAAGTGCATATTAACAACACAATTAAAAGAACTCATACAGTTTTCATCACTTTGTTATTATTTCATCATCATCATTATTTTAAAATCGTCAACAAACTGTGATGACAATCGGTCGCATAGATGTTCCAATATTTCCATCGTTGATTTCAATGTAATGTCATGAAAGTAGAATAATATTTGGGGTACTCCTGAAGCAAGGCTAAGAAGATAGTCATTTTTGCAATAACATTCTTGAAAACAAAAAAAAAATCGCAAATGCCTTAAAAAGCATCAAAAGAACTCAAACTCGTGCCTGTCACCTAAGCTACCTACCCAAAAAGCATCGGTCAAGAAAGAACATTTTCAGCTATCTTTCGGATTCAGCAGCCGAAACTGTTTGGACCAAAGCAGTCGCACAGCCAGATGCTGTTGGTAGAGCATCGTGGATATTTCAAATTTCCAAGGACATCAGCTCGAAATTCACAAAAACTGTTATGATCTCTGACAGATCAAGATCGTCTCCAGGAAAAGTATAAGAAGAATTCGGCGGAGCCAATAAGAGATAGGATTGATTGAACCAGGACCAAGTGTCAGTACGCGTTAATAGATCCTTAGCTTTCATTATTGTTACATTATATACATTCGTGATATCTGACCCGTTTCATTGAGGTACAAAAAAAAAACATCAATTCTGACCGCTAATTCACGTCCGGCGGGGTCTTAACTATATAAATGAACATTTGAATATAGATAAAATAATTTTTTTGTATTGTTCCTAGCACTTTTTCATGAATTTTTGCAGTTTTCTACCTGTTTTTTGAGGTTAGGAAATTTCTGTGATGTGATAGCTCAATTCTGACACCGGATTCGTGATCAGGAGGCAAAAATACTACAGATAACATCTGTCGCATGAAAAGTACAGACAACTTTTATTTTTTGTGTGGCTGTGTATAGCAACTCCCGTAAATGAATTTTCTTATTTCAAGTTAAGTTTATTCCCCATATTGTTTTAACTAAACGTCTTCATGGTATACCCTGTAGATATTCAAATGCGGCCACGTTGTAATCACTGTAAGTATTAACTTTATTACTAAAATTAATTTTTAGGAATTCATCATCGGCATATATATATATATATATATTTTGTATTTTTAACAATATGACTTTAGAATTCTAATAAGCAAAATGCAAAATATGTAATGAGAATCTAATTTTTGTTAAAAATTGACTGATTTATCATTATGAAATATCAAAATGATATATTTCGTTTCTACTTAAGTTTCGTTCCTATTTAAGCTGCATGTGAAAACACTACCTACTTATCTACCTATCTCGAAAATAATATAATGAACAATAAATTTAGGGAAAAAATAATTCCTTCAGTTCGAAATATAGTTTGAGTCGAGATAGTTTAAAAATCTGAAACTACAATAGAGCAGCTAAAAATGAGAAAATGTTTTCTGTTTTCATATTGCTCTTTAACCTAGACCTAGAAAACGGTCTTCATTATTTTCTTCCCGAGAAACTATTATTCATTAAATTAAGCAGCATCCTCTCAACTTAACCAACTCATTGTCTTTGTCCTGAGGCAGCAAAGTGTCTCCAATTTGGATTTTTTTTTCATATTATTTGCTACTAAAAAGTGACGATTCGTCTAAATTCTATATTCTATTGTTTTTTCAATCGCCCGTCAGCAACTTCCATTAAAAGAAATAGGTATATACTTATATAATTACATTTGAAAAGGGTATCTCATATAAAAATAATTATTATGCAACCATCATCACTAAAAAAAATAACATGATTCGTACTGAGTAATATACTAAATTTTAACTTACCTATGACTATGTGCTAAACTAGAGACTCTACTGGCACGAGAAGAGGAAGCAAGTGGTGATCTGGGAATTAACTGTAAACTAGGATACTCATTTTCCAAATTGTAATCAAAACTGTAGTCGGCATCCTGACTTTCATCAGCCATATAGCTCATCTGTTTCGCTTGTGCGTATAATGTTTGTGCTTTTGCTATGCCGTCCTTCCAACCCTAAAATAACAAAAAGCCACATTATATCCAATGGAAAGACAACACACAAATTTCGCTATAATAAATGAATCCTTGGGATTAGCTTTAAAGTTGTCCACCAGAGAAAGATAATTAAAACATGTGATGATATTGGCTCTCTAGAATTATATCTAAATCATCTTAAACTTTGCAATTAAAACCTTCAACAAATCTATCCTTTTTTATTTCTTTTGGAATTAAACGAGGTCAAAAAGAGAAAATACGGGTCCAATATTTTTTAATTTATTTTCATTTTGTCGTGTAGTTATAAAGTTTGAAAACACCCCGTTGTCCGCGTTAAAGCGGACATGAGACTAGACTACAGAAATTATAAAATTATTTGCGGAAATTTTTCAGAAATTCATATTTATTATAAAAAAACTTCACCGATCAGGTGCTTCGGATGTGAATATATTATTATTATTATACAGGGTGTTTCAGGGTTAAGACGTTAAACGTTAAGGAGATATTTCTTATAAAAAATAAGAAGACTACCAGCAAAAGAAACATTTTCAACAACATTCAGTCGTCTCAGACAAACTGGGTCTTTCGGTATTCCAACTTATGATGATGGACATTTTACCCCACTTCAGGACGAAGTAAGATCGAATACTATTTTAAACCATTTCGATGAAAATCCATCCACGAGTGTCACAGAAAATCTAGCTATGAGTTAGGTATTTCGTCAAGTTCCATTTGGAGGACTCTTCGGGCTGATGGACGCCATGCCTACCATATCCAGCGTGTGCAACATTTATTGCCTCAGGACATACGATGCAGGCGAGTGTTTTGTGACTGGATGTTAAACCAAGCAGATAATGATTATCACTTTACGCAAAAAGTAATGTGGACAGATGAGGCAACATTTACGCGAAGGGGAATTTTAAACCAATGGAACTACCATATTTGGTCCTACGAGAATCCACGGGTGGAAAGGGAACATAGTTTTCAGCATGAATTCCAATGTAACGTATGGTTGGGTGTGTTGGACAACACTATAGTTGGTCCTTACTTCCTTCCGCATCGGTTAAATGCTGACATGTTTACCGAGTTCCTTGAAAATGGTTTTCAAGATCTGTTAGAAGATGTTCCGCTTAAGACTCGAATGAACAGTTGTACAGTAGTTTCAACTAGATGGCTGTCCTGCCCATTTTGGTAGGGGTCCTAGGGAGTGGTTAAACATTAATTATCCCAGGAGATGGATTGGTCGAGGAGGACCTGCAGCTTGGCCCGCACGTTCACCAGACTTGACACCGATTAGTTCGTTTTGGGTGCTGTTAAACAAAAGGTCTAAGAGGTGCCAGTCGATACCCTAGAAGATCTAAGACAGCGAATAGTCCAAGCGTGTCGAGAATTAACTTCAATTCAGTGTCGATCGGCCACTACCTCCATAATTAGAAGATGTCGTGCTTGTCTATAGTCCGGAGGCGCCCATTTTGAACAAAATATTTTTTAAATCATTTCATTTTTGATTCACTTTTTGCTTTGTCATAACTGGTAATTTTTTGGTTGTTTCAATTTACAAATAAATTTTCATGTATTGTTTGCCATCTTATTTTATATAAAAGTACACAACACAAGTAAATGAAGTGACTACAAACCGCCAGAAAAAATTTAGGAGTATTGCAAGGCTCGTTACGTTATCTCATTACGGCATAGTCACATTAGATGTTAGGTACTTAAATATTTCTATTGTTTTCACCAACATAATTTTTTTTTTTCTAAAAAAAAAAACACCCTATATCTCAAAAACGAAGCATCTTCTACATATTTTTAATACTCGTACTATTGGTTAAACCCAAGGGATAGGGAGACAAAAAGGCTTATTTGACTCACACATACTCGGGACTAAGACCAATTTTAATAGTTACTATATTTTTTTAGGTTTTATGAGGAACGTCTTCCTAAAGTTCATCGACAGAATCCATAAGAGTTACTTGCGGGACTTCTACTTCTATGGAAAAATTGTATCTTATAAGAAGATGTGTCATGCCAAATTTGGCTTAAATAGCCTTCTTCATTTAGAAATTATGTAAGAAATTCGAATTTGTTAAAAAATTTTTAACGCCCTATATTTCGAAAATGAAGCGTCTCTGGAAAAAAATTTATACTTTATTTTTTTCTTATTTTTTTATGAGGAATATCTCCTTAAAGTTTGTCGACTTAATTCTGAAACACCCTGCATAATTATTTTTAGAATACAAAAAATTATAGTAGTAAGCCTTGCATTAATATTGAACGACACAGAAGTGTTCAAAAGTTCTTCATACTCCTCCCGACAAATAGTAATTTAATTTAATGTCATTTTCCACAGAACAAAACTTGATCATTAACATATTTTGTACACACCTTGATCTTTCTGGCGTCGTTGTTTTGGAGTATAAAAGCTGCAACAGCCATATCAAATTCATTTTTGTATATAACTGCCAGGCTAGGTGTCTCCCTGTGTAATTCGGAAACCACCAAACGATCCACAAGGTAGGGCTGTCTTACGACACGCATAGTCGCACCGCCTTTCTTTGTCGAGGGCTTGCAAACTAACAGCATGTCGGTTAGAAGGAAACAATGGACTTCCATCTGAAACAAACACGCAAACTGTCTGTATCCATTAAGCTACAAATACATACAAATTGATGCAATAAGTAATTAATAATCTATAGAAAGTTCAATATCCCGAGCAGAGAAAGAGATGGTTAAATTAAGTGCAAAACAATTATATTATATACATTTTTTTATTTATAAATTTACACAAAATGGCATTCTGTATAAAATTACCTGCTTGTTCTTAAAATATTAAAAGTATTTTTTTCTTGATTTTATATATCATTTTAATACTTTAAAAATCGAAAAGTGTCACTAGGGGATATACAAAAAGGTCATAACAATGAAGTACCTCAGACCCATTTATATTTCTTCTAACGGAAACTGATTAACAAGTGATTACTTAAAATCCATTAATTTACATAGAGTCTTCTAGATCATAAGATTTTTTATATTGTATTCTCTTTGGGGTTTACTTTACCAGTGTGTATTAGTTTCGCGAAACAACTTCAACTTATTTATTCTTTGTTGCAATTATCTTCAATTTCGAGTCAATGGACTCAATTAATATGCATTGCCTAAAAATCGTTAAAATCGTTCTTTATTTTGCTTTTTCTAAAGTATTTTGTAACAAAAAATTAGTTTTGTAAAACTTTTAGCATAGGGATACAATGATTCGGAAAGTTTCTTAATATTTTAAAGTAAAAATATTGTTCAAGACAATTTCGATGGGGTTGCGAATCCATTGAAGATAATTCAAGAAGTTTAGAGCTTTCAAATGTAATCAGTCCTGATATTTTCAGGAAAGTGAAACCAATGGTTCGAGAATATCGCCGTTTTGAAAGTATATTCTATCGCCAAAGCACTAAAGATATGACAACAATTCTACAAAGATCAACAGGCCTGAGTAAAATTTCAACGTGTTTCACATTTCACAAAATCATTTGAAATCTTTATATATAGACCCTAACACAGAAACAGAATTAGAGTCCATGTAATGGGCCTTTCTATAGCTTGCCTCTTTTAGGTTCAAGAAGGAATTATTCTTTTTTGCTTGAAAAATGAGGTGCTTTACTATTTGTCATTTTATTATTATTTTTTTCTAAATATTAATCACTTTGTATACAAAATCAGGAAAATAGAAACGCACTTAAGAAATTACGAGCAACTGAGAAATTTTATAGAGAATGGAATTTACAAATAAAAAAATTTACCCTCTTCGGGATAAAATCGCGGTTAAAATTGGGTTCCAATAATTGTTGTACACCACTGGTTATTAGATATGGTAACAGAGATTTGTACGGTTTTTTCCAGGCGAATTACGCCAATAGTCAAGTGGACCGCATTTCATTTATCTGTTCTTTGCTATTTCCTTCCAATTTCCTATTTCTTTTCCTTTAATATCTTCTACAGAGTGTAACAGTGACGTTATGACAAATTTCCAAGCCTCATTGTTTTCAGCAAAATACATAAAGAATAGTAACATACATTTTTATAAAACGATTTGTACGTTTTTACGGCCCTTCACAGATTAAATCTAATATATGTATAGATTTTGATAAATTATTCAAGAAGCATTGAAGATATTGACCTTAAATTTGGTACAGTTCAGTTCCTGTCATAAAAGCTACTTATATGTAAAATTTTATCAAAAATGACCAATATCATCAACAATAGACGAAGTCCGAACTCTTTTATCTACCAAAAGAATAATTTTACTGATTTCGAAATAAAACTTCTGTGCCTTTTCAGTTGATTTCCTAGAATGCACTATTATGGTAAAAATCCAAAATCATGACACAGTAAGGCGCATTTTTAGCAACGAGACATAGAACTCAGAATAAAATTTTGCACAAATTCACATATTACAGTTTCAATGGAAGACAGGCAGACGAATATTTCTATGCAAATGTATCTGTAATTGTGTAGCCGCTTCTAGACTATTATTCACAAGTCGTGCATTTACGGAAAAAAATCAAGAGGTACAGAAGTTTCGATCGGAAATAATATATCCAATGTAGATTCCCTTTAAGGTGGCCATATCCCTGGCCGAGAAATGGTGAAATTTCTGGCATTTTTAGGTACTGAAATTTTGAAAAGTAAAACGTGTAGATCAAAAGTAAGCACAAAAATAAAATCCTTGATGTTTTGTTTATTCATTGTTACCATTTAAATATACCCAAATAAAATAATAACTAAAAAAAGCGTTTGTAAAACATGCGTTTTCTGTTATCCTAACCCCACATTTTAAGAATTATTTTCACATATTTATAAATAAAAGTAAACAATTTTATATGTAGGACTAAGCAAGTAAATGTTATAAGAATATTTACATGTGGAGTTATGTCTAAAAAAGTTAGTATTTTCGTAGATTTCAGTACCTAAAACCTTGATGGTTTGATCGTTTTTTGCACCTGTTTATTCGTTTTACTGCGGCGTCTTTGAAAATACTCAGGTGGCATGACATAACATTCCTATTATTTGATAAGCTTTAGATTATTCAGTTATTAAATGTTTAAAATTATTTGTCTCTGCGGAAAACACTATTTAAAAAATATGGGGCCCATCAAGCAACTGTTTTTGACAGTTGAAATATCACAGTTTCTCCTAATTTCTACGCCACTGACTACGCTTTTGTTGAAATTTTACTTCAAGATATCTACTATAACACAATTGTATCACATTTGAAGTTTATATCTTTAATAGTTCTAGAGTAATTGACCAAAAACTGTCTTTTATTTTTAATCTTTAAAGAATCATGAAATTTAAGAATCGAATTACGAAGAAAATGTTTTTTCTGTTTTTCTATTTGTATTGACGAAAAAATTAGATCTGATAATTTGTCCTAATGTCACTGTTATATCCTGTGTAACAGCTCTTGGACAATATTTCGTTTTCTCTAGAACTGTGCATAAATGTTTATTATGTTTGATTTATTGATGAATGCGAGATATCCTAGTCACTGCCATCCTCTAAGCTTGGATAAAGAAAAATATCTATTTCAAATTCATAAAGTTGTAAGGTCGATTCTGATGTGGTTTAACTTGAAGTTCTACTAATTTTACATTTTTCAACATTCGTAACCTACGGAGCATTCTAAGTATTCTTACAACATGAATTATAACAAATTTCTAATAGACGATTGTCAAAGATGACATGATTCTTAGTTTATGAAGTACTAAAAACTTCTGTAGAATTAAAAAATAGATCTAGAAGTGCTCAATTAGAAACAGAGTTTAAAGTTGTTCCCAAGTCGAAACGACAATCTGATGCCTGGTTTTTTCAAAATATAGGTACATTTGAAAAATTACGTAGCAAAAAAATTAAATAAGTCCATATCCATAAACGGACAGAATATTTCAAAAGCTAGCTAATACGGAGGACAGAAAAGACCCTGCATATTTATCAATAGTTCCACTCGTGTTTTTTAAAAAATGAATCCACTATTAAATTACTATCAGCTTTCCGTGCACAATTTGATTTAATGCTAACAAGAAGAAGAGCTTCAGAAATAATTAATTTGAGTTTGGAACATGATCTCCCTCGGTACTTATCAAAGCAGCTAGCATCGCAAAATATAATTGTAATTCTGCAGATTGTCACGGATTACATTTATTCTAGACAAATATTAATTTCTCCAAGTATTTAATTGCTTCGAGTGATTTCTGTTCGTCTTTGAATAAGGATTTCAACTGAATTAACACACTTCATGAAGTAGTCAAAGTTTCTCTCAAGACTTAAACTGATTCAATTAGACAACTGCACCATTGTAAAGATTTCAGAAGTCCTTTCTAATTTTAGTTTAGTGAATATCAAATAACCCTTTAATTAAAAATCGGGCTATGACTCATTTGAAAAAAATTTACATGTGTACGTGATTGCATGATGTTCTGCTGGCATAATTATTATTCAATGCTAACAAAATTTTTGCTACATTATCAGTGTGGACGACATATACAATGTTAAAGACAACATTGAAAATTCACAGAAAGATAGATAACTTAAAATATGAGAATCTAATAATTTTTTTGAAAACTCAGTACCGATCGAACATACATACGAGGCGTGTTGACAAAATAACCGAACTTTATTTTTTTAAATTATATTATTAATTTTATACATTTTTTATCTTGTTGCAACTCGATGCATGTTCAATTTTTCAGTAAAATTTCATGGCATGACACATGACACATGACCCATTTGAGAGATAACCTCTTCTGCAATTCAATCGGCGATTTGCACGCACCAGATCTTAGACTTTCTGAACGTAGGAGACATTAATTGACGTCGAAGGCCTTCCTTGTCGAGGATCATTTTTAATTAACTGACGACCACTTTTAAATCGTGAAAACCATTCGTAACATAATCTCTGTAAGCTTGTTTTAAAAATTGTAACGTTTCCGTGAAAGTTTTCCCCACTTTCTCGCAAAATTTTACGTTGCATCGTTGTTCTAGAATATCGCACATTTCAAAAATTGTCACTAACACATAAACATGTTGCACTCAAATAACAATATCACGAAAACTAAATGAGACATCAACAATCCAAGGACATGTGGTTACCCACACCCCATATCATTAAATATCTCCATTAGAGAGTAATTTAAAAGGTTCGGTGACTTTCTGAACAGGCGTACTCAAACGTTGACAATGAAAATTTTCAAACATCCTTTAAAATTTGTACTACTGTTTCTTATTTTGCAGACTTTATTGTTGATCATAGAGGAAAATAAAGCGGAATCAAGAAAGCGAGACAAATCGTCACTTAGAGATTATGTTGTTCTACATCCGTTTTCACAAGTTTTCCAGAAAACGAGATTAATGAGTTTTTGCCATTTAGTTTAATTAATAGCTTATGAAATTTAAATACAACTATTTATTTTAAATCCTATATTTTAGTTAATTGTTATTATAATATTAAAATACTTAGTAATGTTGTAGTTTTGTTATGAAAAAATTAATAAAATTTCTAGAATTGGATGTAGCACACAACACATTTATACAGATACAACCATATTTAAAACATATATATATAT